TTTTTTTTTTTTTCTTCTTCACTTCACTAATATTTGAAAGTGAATATCATTTATTAACAAGCTTAATTAATTTTGAATGATATGAAAACCGGGAATTCAAAGTAATCTCGAAAGATAAATATTGGTATTCGAAAATGAATATTTGACATTTGAAAGCTGTATCGAGAAACGGAAGTAACTTATCGAATTACCGTATTGGAATTCACGTTTGTTTGTCAATCAAAGCTACTCTAAGCAGTTGAACTACTTAGATTTCATTCTCAAAAAGATAACTATCACTTGTGGGTTATCACTTATGGAATTGTTATTATCTAATACTAATATTAATGGTTCGTATAATAAAATAGAGATATAAAGTAAAATGAAATTGAATACGTAAAATATATACTTGCAATACATTGCTAAGAAGAATATTCAAGACGAATAAAAAGAGAAAAAGTATACATAAATATGTATATTCTATTTCATCTTCACGTTATGCTACGGTATGGTAGAAATAACATCGAAATTTTTTTTTCCAAAGGATCTGTGCAATGCATAATAAATAGTATGCAAGTACTTGGCAGTTGCTTTTATAAATAATGGAGAAGGAAACAGGGGGGGATAAAATTTTCGTTTCCTGTGTCCTTTGAGAGTGGAAACACATTTGGCGTTAGTTTGAAAGATCTATTTTTAGTTTATCCAAAGTGTGTCTGGAAGAAAATTAACTTTTCCCCTCCTTCGGTCTCTGACACATTATGTATGCCAGCAGTGACACCATGTTGTGAAGTTTAATGTAAATGCGTACAAAAAGGAAAGAATAATCATCATATGAACATTTGTAAGTAGAACTATGTATGATCTATTTGAAGAAATCGATAATTAGGCAGAAAGTTATGAAAACGAGGATTGATAAATATTTCTTTAATTCAATATTTTCAATTTTTCTTGCCAAACCAACAAACTCTTCAAGAATGCCACGAAGTGATTTTGAGGGAATTTTTAAGTTATTTTTATTTGTAATTATTTATATATACAAAAATTTTACAACGAACATTTTCAATATTTATTTCTTTAAATATATATATAGTAATAATTAAAATGACTTATAAGTCGCCAATATATAAAATATACGTTTTCTTCAGTTTTCTGATCAATTTGTCGTCTGTTTTTATCACAGTTTCAATAAATTTCCCTCAAGAAATGTGATACAAGTTATCTTGAATTTTAGCATTCGTAGAGGTCAATGCCTGAAACTCATAGAAAAAGGTAGGGAAACCGTCCACTGTATGCATTTGGTTCAATCGTGACTCATATATACATGTGTAAATACATATATGTAATACACATACATGTGTAACAAAGTCGATAAAAAGTAACAAAGAGTTTCTATATCGGTATCCTCGTTTGAAAACAATTGATAATGGCGAGGTCATCTGTCATGTAAAATATAATAATTTTATATATTACTTGTTTATATATTTTTTCTTTTTCCACGCTGTTTTCTCTGCCTCGTATTTTTCCATTTCTTCCAATATGATGACCTTTGCGAAACTCTAATCTCCTCCTAGCTAGTAATTGAGTTTCAAAAAAATTTTTTTTCATTTGCAATAAATACATTTGTGATAAAATTCTTGAAACTAAATAATTAAATACGACATATAAATAGAAGATATATATATATATACGAATTGTATATATATATTCGTGTTATTTCATATTAAAATACATGGAAAAAATTTCTAGAATTAATCATTGTGCAATATTTGTCGATCTCTTTTGATATGTATATATATATATATACTATAGTCTAGTATACGATCGTTTCGTGGCAATTTAATCAATCAATACGTTTGTTAAGAATGTGTGTCTTGATTTGTGTTCACCGCAACATGAAAACAGAGTCGCAATTATAAAGCGACTCGTAAACAAATTGTTAAACGTTCCCTACGTCATAAAGACGTTTGATATAACGTTTTACACTTGGTTGAAGCTTGCCAGTTTTCCAACTACTTATAGCGCGTGTTTCACTCTTGAAATACGACCCTTTGTACCAACAATTGTACTACTTATGCGATGCCGTGCAAATCCCATTAAGTCTGTCGCACGCCACGCGACTAGTAATATCTTATTCCAGATCAAATAGCGTGTTATTGGAAATTTACCAAGTTAAAATTTCATTTTGCGGTTAGAACATTAAATTTAAATTTTCTATATGAATTTTCTTTTCTCGCAAAATCAATATTTTATTAAAACATATTTTTGAATTATGATTACTTATTATCACAACTATTTTTTTTTTTTTTCAATAAATTTTTTCTTAAGAAGACAATAACTTTCACGTGGAAATATTATTAATTATCGTGAATTATCATTTTGATAATGATAACATCTTTTTTCTTCCGAAGATAAATGATAATCGTTGGAAAAAATACATAAAATCGATTCGAGCACGATGTTTTTATTAGTCACGATGAAATATCGACATGCAATATCTATTTAATTTAAACATTATAAGTTATAAGAATCGACAAACGTCACAACCGAGCTGCACTTTGATTGAATGAATGATATATATTGCATTATCGTTATATATACATGTACATCGAGTCATACAAGTTTGTGCGTGCGATTTCACTTGGAGGTATAATTTCGCAGGCGCCTCGATGTCTTCTCTGTCGATCGATCGAACGTTCCTTTCGCAGGTTATACCTATCCGACTGCCATCTATCACGTAACAACACGTAATAGCAATTGAACGATGTAACGGAGCAACACTGTTCTTTCTAACGATACACTATCAAGTTTTTCTTTTATGCTCTTGTACACATGATGATCGTCAATGTCATGTGGCTCGTGTTAATGTATGAGCCTCGTCACCACATATTAATTCTTTTATTCTCTTCGTTGTACTCGCGTATTCTTCTTTTTTTTTTTTTTTTTGTTGTCGATTCTTCACGTACACATTACTTCCTTCCGATCAACGCGTTCTCTATTGTAAAATTTTGAAATATCGTACAGAATTTACAATTAAAAGAGAATTTTTTTTAATATTATTCAAAATTATTTGATCGAGTCACTTAATAATTTATAAATATATTTGTACTGCTTTTTAAATTACAAAAGTTTTACAAATTAAAACTTGAAAATATATATTTAAATAAATTAAATATGGAAGTTAAGTTTTTTTACATATTTAAATTATAAAAGTTCTTTCCTTTTTTGTTCTTTAACTCCTTTATTTCGCCGTTTTTATTTTTCTCTTATTCTTTTTGACTCTCTTTCTTCGTCTTCCCCAACACTCTCGATTCTTCTCGCTTTTTCGACTCTAAAAAGACCCAAGGCCTATCTCTCTCCCTATTTGCTAGCTGTCTTCTTTCATTCGTGCACATGGTGTGCGTGACCCTGGGGTGCGTTGTTGCATGTCGCCATCCACGATGGTCGCCGTTTCTCCTCCCGTACAATTGGTCGGTGCCCCAAGAATGGAGAAAATTATTCCCTCCAATTCCATGTAATTTAAAGGAATTAAGCGATCGCGAACCGTGCCCCACGTAGCCCCATAACTCGTACAATCTTTTCCCTTTATCCTTTGCTGGGAATTTCCTTTATTCTAAGATCGAAATAAATTCTATTCAACGGTTGTTCGTGCATTTAACAAATAGCATTTCACGCGTGAAAAAAATTAACGGAAGAATTGAAAAACCAAGTTTTTTTATTAAATGATCGAAACGAAAATTTGAAAATTTAACTTACGATTATTTGTGAGATGTATTTTATTCAATTATAAAGATAAAACTTTTTAATTGAATATCTTCAATTAAAAAGTTGGTTAGAAAATGTATATAGATATGTTTTTTTTTTTTTTATTATTCAGTTAGAACTAGATTTCGAATTTTTGCTATTTTGATGTTCCCATTTGATTTTACAGCTAAATTCAAGCCTCGTTTCAATTCCGGTATGCATTTTATGTTGCGTTATGCCCCAAAAGTTCGGTGCCATTATAAAACGAAAGAAGAATAATTAATTACGAAATCCAGAGAAGAAATCATATTACAAAATGTTACAACTCTCACAAAATTGTTTCACAACTTTCTAGCGCGGTTATTTTAAAATAAATAATATTAGTAATAAACGAGTATTTGCTTAGTTTTTTTTTTTTTTACACCATTATCTCTTCCCTTTTGCGAGGATAAAGAAAAAAGATTGGATCGATAGGAATGACCGATTATCTTTATTATATATCTTTGTTATCTCTCTGTTATCAGTAAATTCGATTGTCTGAACATTTTAAGAAAATTGAAATTTCTACCTATTTTCTTTCTTCATTTAAATTTTCATAACTTTACTATTGCATCGAATGGAATAATAATAATAATTATTTAATAATAAAATTTCATAATATGTTTTGTATTAAAAAGCAATGTAACGATTTCTCGACGATTTGTTATCGACGTGACATTGCGTGACATTTCTCGATTTAAGTGTAATGATTCATACTCGGTTATTCTGGGAAAATTATGACACATACAAATTATCGATAAAGTTTTATGATACATCTGAGAAAATGCTAAAACCACGCTCTCTGTAATAGTCTGAAGCAATGTGGAAAAAAATAATTTTTTCACGAACGATTTGCATAAAGAATAAAAATATTCCAAATAGATAGCAAACGCAAAAAAAAAAAATACGATGAAAAATTGTACGATCTTATTTTACTCGATACGATAAAAATAACAATTTGTATAAATTGAAATAATAACGTTAATAAATAAATAGAAATTACGCGTTTGATATTAATACGTGATATTAATTATAAAATAAAAGCAAAGGCCAATAAGAGATGAAAGGAGCCAAATAAATATATATATATTCGCATACTTCAAATTCCTCTATCCTTCGATGTATTTGTAGAAAGAGAAGTAGTGAGTAATCCCCTACTGATAGGAGAGACAATTACATTATCCCATTTCCGTTCTAGACAACTGTGCTCTTCATCTCTTTCTTTCTTCATATGCCTCCTCCAATCTCTTTCTCCGAGTTACTAAGTGCCATTTCTAATTTTGGCTTTTTGCGAGGCCAAGGACAGCAGCTGCGTTTGTCGGGTCAGTCTACCTGAAAGTATTAACCACGACGAATATTAATCTAAATAAAGAAAAAGAAACTTTTTTTCAAAATGTTTTCCACTTGAATTATAATTTCGATAATCGTGTCGTTTAAAGATAAATTATAAAAAAAATTCATAAAAGAATTTTTCCCGTGTCAAAATATATATTTCGAAACAAAGATATTGAGATCGAGCATATAAAGAGTAAAAATAAATAAATCCGTTTCATCAAATTTTTCCAGTTCCAACAAATATTATAGTATGAATGTTGCGCGTGAATGCATGTATGTGAAATGAAACGTTCCGTATACGTGCGCATCATTAGGTCTCAGCCACATGGCATTGAAGCAGCAACAGAGGATACGACGAATGTCATTTTTGTTGTTATGAGATAGATAAAGTTGAGGCTGAGCGAAAAATTTATGCCTGCTGGTACAAAATAAAATGTTTCTAGCATTTTTCTCATTTTCTTCTTTCTCTCTTTGTTCTCGTGTTTTTTGTCCTTATTTTTACAACTTCGATTTAAATAAACTTGAATTATTTAATATGCATTCGAAGAAAATTAACTTAAAAGAATTGTTTCCTTTATAAACTTGGTAAGAACTCGAAAGCGCACTTTCCAAAGGTCAAATAAATAAATAGATTTAGATCAGTAAAGTAGTTTCACGTTACACGTGAATTCAAGCTTCTTAAAGTCAAAGCCTATTTGGCCAATGTTGTTAACTGCAGCTTTGGTTAGCGATTTAGAAATAGAATATTTTGGACGCATATGTAGTTTCGATACAACCGTTGTGCGTGCGTTAGCCTTGTACAAATACACGTGTGCAGTTAGATCGAGGTTTCTGCCAACCCTATGCGCTATACGGGCGACAAGCAAAAGGGTAGGTCGAGGCGCCACAACGCCTAGACCGACGACGCCTGGCGTCGCACGCAATGCACGACTGGTGGTCTCTCTCTCTCTCTCTCGCGACAAACACGTCGGGAACCGTGAAACAACGTCGGTACACGCTTTATCAGAATCTTCTACGGCATCGACACCGCCTTCGTTCATATAGCTTCCTGGAAAAACGGCGCGAATACTATCTCTACGAATATTTTATCCACATCGATTACCATTTTTCCACCGCTATTACGTGAGAAAAGTACGTGAGGCGTACGTATATACTTATTACATATGTAATGCAACGAATATTATACAATTTTAAATTATTAAATTTGTAGGATATGATAAAATACAGCATTTTATTAATAATACAATTATTTTGAATTTAACATTTAGAAAACCTAAATTGGATTAAAAGTCACGTATACCAGATAACTTTTGTTCGTAATTAGCGTTATCACTACTAAATTAACTGAGTTAAAAATAACGCAATTATCAAGCCGCAAGAATTGTAACTGTTGCAATATAATTGTTTGCAATTTTATGAAACATATATAAAGTCGTAATATAACGACAAAAAGTTGGATTTCTTTCAAAATTATTAAGATAATAAAATTTTGTATAAAATGGACAAAAACCTATATTAAAAATAAATTTTATGTGATAAATTTAATCTGTCTTTTCCACTATTATTACACTTGTTATAGCGATAGTATGTTGCATAGTGTTAAAAAATAATAACATACGTAGCCAATCTATTATCGATTGTATTCACGGTTCGTGCACGTACAATAGATTGATTTTAATTGCGATGATTTGTTTGTTCGATAAGACTTTATTTCTTAAATAAAGTAATATTTTTGTTATTATATATAATTATCAAATTTGTTTTTTAAAGTTTCTTATATTGCAAATTATTTAATTCCGTAATTTTTTTTTATTGCAAATGTGTTTTTTTTTTTAATAATAATTTTTATATTTTTACAGTGGACTAAATTTCCAAGATTTGATGGCGAGACAGGGTGCTATTGATTCCCCACCAAAAACTCCTTTCATTATGGGATCCGAGTGCGCAGGTGATATCGAGCAAGTTGGCGAGGGCGTGGAGAACTTTAAAGTAAGTGAACTCCTTCGAAATTATGATACATTGATCTCCAAGTTTTTTTTTAACAGTAAAATAACTTTTGCAAACGTTATAAATTCTTTTTTCAAGTGTTTCATTTATTCACTTATTTTTCAATATATTTTTTTAGATTTTTTTTTCACGAGGAATAAATTTAACCAATAATTACTTTTTGCAACGTTGATAACGATTAAGCGTTGATATATTAATAAAATTTATTAAGAAATCTCTCTCTCTCTCTC